GGTACGTAGTGTAAAAGCGCTTTGTCGGAAGACTAGAAAGGCGCTATACAAGTACAGGTCCATTTACCATTTACCAATATAATACACACCATCAGTTTTTGACACTCCAGATATTGTCGCGGTCAGGTGATTTTCCAGGAAAAAAACTAAAAATGTTTTTACAATATTGAACACTGCTAGTGAAAGTTGGTGTTGTTGGTTTTAATACTTTTCATTGGTCAAATATTTGTAAGACTAAGAGATGTAAATTGTGACTAATGGCATTGATTGATAAAAAAAATAAATGACAAAATATGAAGATATGAGGTTTTGTCTGACGGCAACAATAGTTTGGAAAATGAAGCTTAAGGAGAAAAGTTTCACATCTTTTTAGTTGACACATTAAGTTAAAGAGGTCAACACTGACATTTTGTTTCACACTGGAAGCGAACAGCGATCTCCTGGTTTAAAGCCCAGGGTTAGTTGGACCCAATCCATCCACCCCACCATCTCCACATTAGAGACTTTTTATACTATGTCGCCTCACTTTAACAGCCCATCAAAACATTACACCAGAAACCATGCTGGAGACATACCTATAGCATCCTACTTTGAAGCATATTGAACTACTGACCAAGCTGCCATATTTGATGATTTGGGAGTGTGAATGGACTGGAACATGGCTTGATATAACTGTGGTCGCTGTAGCACTCATACTACTCATACTCAAAGCTGCAATTACAGGCTGGGTTCAGGTCAGAGTTTTTTTTCACTACTGAAGTAGTGCATTAATGAAAAACTCTTGAAATTGGTCTTATAATTACAGATATGGTCAAAGAAATGAAAGAATTTAAACAATAAGTCTGACTTCAAATTCTCCATGCTGTAAAAACCCTGCATCTTTTCCCTGAAGGGCCTGCTCAATCTGTGTTTTTCAAGCCAATCTGTGCATGTGTTTAAACATAGCCCACATTTAACCCATATCATAAAAATGAAGTATTCAGACCCCATCACTTTTTGCTCACTTTGCTGTTGTAGATATAATTTGAAATGTAAAAGTCAAATTTTTTTAATAACCCATCAAAACAAAGTGAAAATGTGTTTTCAGAAATGTTTGTATTAAATACCAAAAACTCAAAACTCAAATCACATCACTGTATTTGTGTCTCTGTAGTGTGTCTCTGCTTAGAGGACTGCCTGAGGAGAAACTCGCCAAGATTGTGGATTGTCTTGAAGTAGTGAGTATTTCCCACTTCACCACATTTTTTCCTCATAACTGTACAGTATCTGTTTGTGACTGAATGGTTTCAGATTTTGTCTAAGCGGACAAGAAAATAACTGACCCTCTGTCTTTTCAGGACTATTTTGAAAAAGGAGAGCACATTATCCGAGAGGGTGAAGAAGGGAACACTTTCTTTATTATCGCAAAAGGAGAGGTGAGAAATCTGCACAAACTTGCCTAACATGCCCTCTTTAAGCCATAATGTTGTCTGAATTAAATATTTTTATTAAAACCAACAGGGCCCATTAAAGTAACTATAGTTTGAGGCTGTTTGTGTTGGTCATAGTATGTGGGCACACTGAGCAAAAACTTGCAAGTAAATACACATCTAAGGAAATGATCCAAAGCTTGTATTATAATTAACTCACAGTGAGTCCAACAGTGAGAGAATAATTGTCTTAATTTCATGATTGCATTGATAAAACAACTGACAATGTAACTCTGATGACGAGTAAAACACGTTGTTGCTGTGCCTCTTTCTGTCTAGGTCATAGTCACTCAGAGCACAGAGGGGTTTGCTGAACCACAGGAAATCAAGACACTGGGAGTCGGAGACTATTTTGGAGAGAAAGCTCTCATCAGGTACTAACAGCAGCTTCACACACAGCAGCACACATATAACATTGGATTGAACAGATTTTTGTTTCTGATCACATCACATTTGATAGCTAAATAAGCATAATCTTAGGTCAATGAAATTACTCACAGGTTGTCACTAGTACGTACATCACATTCAGTGGACTGAATAAAAAGATATTGCATGATGTAAATGGAGAATGTGAGGGATTAACCCAATGCTCCTGTTACATTTACACACATTATGTATGGGAGTCAACCTGGTGCACTGTGCACTGTGTCCAGTGCATCTTGAACTGAATTGTCACAACCTGTAAAATCTAGTCAGGTGGAATTTTGTGCCGGGATTTACCACTTTGTCAGTGGAACCCTTAATTACTAGATCCTGGCTTATAAATAGAGTTGAGAACAGCATCCTAGTTGTAATCATACTGGGATTCTCAGATTCCTCTGAAAGCTCTGGCTGATCCATACAGGTTGGATGTATCAAAGTCTGTCGTTCAAGGTTATTAAACCCAGATTGTCAATATTTTCAATCCTCTCACAACCTACAAATCTGCAATCATATAACCTTTCTAAATAGGCTTGTGAAGTTAACACTTGCAAGTAGTATACATGGGAATCTTTCCTTTGTCTACCGTCCATCCCATATGGCATGAACGTAGTACTCTCAGCATCCTCAGCATCATCCTCGGCTTCACTGTCATTAGAAAGAAGAGAGTTTTCCTGGCAGTCATTCATCATCACTGTCATCAGTGTTTCCCTTTTTCAGTCATGTTATCTAATCAACTGCCCTGAAACCTCTCCATCATGTGCTTATGTTCTGTGCTGCACACAATAGACCTAAATTACACAAACACTGTTTTCATAGTGTACACACTGCAATAATAAAAATCCACTGTTTCACAGATTGAAGGCTAGTATAGAAGTATTTTCAATATTGAAATATAGAAGGATTTTTGTTAAAATCTGTGGATGCATGATGTCAAAATCAGTGTAAAGGTGAATAAATGTAATTTCTTGCTTACATAAAATAAATATTTGAAAAGTATGACTATTATGGTATTACTTAGATGTTGATAACATTTTATTTACCTACTTAGATCTTCTGTAGAAGGACTGTTTTAGTTGCACATACAATTGCTTTCTAATGAGTTGCTACCTTTGAAGTTGTAATGTTGTGTCCCCTATAGTTTTCTATTATGCAGCTTTACCAATGAAACCTATGCCAGAAAGTCACAGCTGTGTGATATGAACACACTCACCACCCAATTGATGCTATTTGGCGTTGTGTGCTGCTTACAGCTCATACTCATCACTCTGAAGCAGAAATTGCTGTGTACATATGGGTTTGTGGTGTCTGACTGAACTTTACATTGTATGTTTACAGCGAGGATGTTCGCTCAGCTAACATCATCTGCAGTGAGAATGACACACACTGCCTGGTGGTGGACAGAGAGTGAGTAGCTGCTTATCTACAGTTGGACCCTTTAATTAAACCATACCCTTACATGGCATCTTCAGAATTTAATCCTTTGCATTTCTTCTGTGGGGTATCAATAAAGGAACATCTTATGTCATCTCTCATATACACAAAGATAGTCATCATATGAAGCAAAAATCATACATAAAATTTTGCTCAAAACTGTTAAACTGAAAGTTTAAATAACAGTTGGAATATTCAAATGCATTTGAAAAGAGAAAGGAAGTGCACATTACTGTAGTAATCTTGCCCTAAATAAAACATATGTTAATGAAGGTTTAGACACATGAGACACTGATCAATGAATAATGAGCATATCATGATTTTATGGTCCCACTGAAGGAATATTCCTGTCATAGTGTTCATATAATATTGTATATTAGGCTACTCTCAATCTGACTGAATGATATTTAAGACTTTTAATATGGAGAGCATGGCCTTTATGTATTATAACATTATTTCAGTGTCTGTGTCAACACAGGTTGAAATATAGTCATTGAATGTATATGCACTCTCAGCTTTAACCTCAACCTCTAACTGCACATTACTAAAATTATTATTACCAGATGAGGCTGTGAGTTTAGAATGATAGGTCTACAAGTAAACATGCCTCATCTGTTTGATCTGTTTATTCATTCTCATCCATTTAGTAACGGTATGTAACACAATATGTAGATTTGCTCTCAACTCTACCAATGTTGGTAAAGCACAGAACACAGCCGAGTCATCAGCTAGATATGGTCATTTAGTAAAATTCAAAGGGAACTCTTAAGTAGCATCAGTGGGTATGGTTTGATTTTCTTACAAAGCTCCTTACAAAGCCAAACACACACACTGAAATGAAAGTTGGTGATGTTTTTGTCCCCTACCCCCTCCACACCAGCAATTTCAACCAAATGGTGGGAACTTATGAGGAGCTTCAGGCCTACCTGAAGGAATACGTGGAAGAGCTTTCCAGGAGTGATGAGAGGAGAAATGCCCTGTAAGTGACAGACTGACACAACAAAAATGACACAACAGTTGTATACATGTTTTTAAGCCTCTCGGTAAATGGATTATGCCATCAAGGGTTAATGTCATTTCTCCATTTCCAGTTTTAGTGGGGATAAGCTTATCTGAAGTTTAGTTTAAAATTGAGTCACTCTTGGCCAAAAAGCAAGGACCCAAATGTGATCAAAGGGCCCAATCATATGTCCCATGTTACCCCTCTCTCAGGCCCCACTCACCTCAGATTGACTCTGCAGAGGCCCATGAGCTAAGGAGGCTGAGGGAGAGGATTGCTCTCCTGCCTCCGAACCAACCTTTCCAGGAGCTCAAGGTCATAGCTACACTGGGCATGGGAGGATTTGGAAGAGTGGAGCTGGTGAGCTGCAGTAACACTATAACACTCCAACAATCAACTTTCATTAGTCAGCTCCCCTTTTGACTGGCATTAGGCTGGATTTCATTTATTGCTCATATGTTTGTCTGGCCAACAACTGATCAGTGAAAAGTGACCTGTAACCCATCATACCTACTGTGTAAGATCCTTTGTTTATTCAATTTAAATTAAACCCTCTGGTACAGAACAAAAGCAGTTGGGTTGGAGCCACGGATGCCTCTCACTATTGACAGGACTTTCCTAAGTCCCACCCGTTTTTGTTCTTTTCAGTTACCTTTTCTATTCCAAATGGAAAACTTGATTTGCAGTCAGGGTAAAAAAAAAAAACATGCAATTTCATGCAAAAATAGAATATTAAGATTTCAGGTGCAAATTAAATGTTAAGAACATTTAAAATTACATGTGAAAATTAAGCAGGGATATTGCACAAGGAATAAAGGAGTTTTTACTCCTATGGCACAACATTAGTACTCTAAATCCACGACCTGAGGGAAGAATTTTAAACTCAAGGTGAAGGGGGTGGTTTGTACTGTCCAGTATGGACTTGGCCTTGTGGAGATTCTGATGGACACCTATCACCTTCCCAGCAACCTTAAGAATGTGGTTCAGGTGGTTTTTATCCTTTATGTTCAGGTTACTGTACCAAGCAATCACAGAAAAATACAGAACAAGGACATCATTTTCCTGTCCACATTAAGTACACACTTTACTTCTTACAGACTGCATCAGAATTTATATCAAAGTTTTTATCGATGACATATTTATTGAAGACATGAGCCATGTCTCACTAAAAGACCATGATGCATGCATGAACATGTGAGTCACATCTGAATTATCGAGGGAAGCGGAATGCGCCGCAACTTCTGGTGTTTTAGTCTGACACGGACTCCTCCTCTTCTCCCTTGTTTCCTCGCCTTAGCGGTGTACTTTCTATTCCAATCCTGTGACTTGTGCCTAGAGATCTGTGTTTAAATCTTTTAATGAAAAAGGATCCATATACATATCCACACAGTACGGGTTGTCCCGTTGCATGGCAAGAACTCCGAGAGTATTGCCTTGCTTGTTGGCATGGTTGAGGTTGGACACTCTTGACATAATAGAGCCATAAAAACCATAGAAAAATACAAAACTTATTTTCATGATGAAACCTTTCCTAAACAGTCATAGATGGTAGCGTGCACACAAAAAACAAGTCAAAGTAAACAATTTAACGAAAATGCACAGACACAAACACACCTGCTGCTGGTCGCCACAGGAGCAGAGCTTCTCTAATGTGCTCCAATAATTCCAGATTATCACGGAAATGGGAATTCACCACGATACATTTGTTTTTTAGAGTGTTTTTTATCGTGATGCACAATAATCTTGTATATCATCCCATCCCTAATAACAAATCGATTTCTGACTGCAAGGCCATGACCATGAGTCAGACAGGCTGGGGCTCATGATGGGCTCCCAGACATTTTACCACTGTATTCACAGGCTGTGTAGTGCTCCTCATGACAAGTAAATTGACTGATAAGATAGTTATAGTTTGCCTCTTTTTAAAATCAAATCTTCATCATGGAACACAAGGACAAACATTCAAACGACATCTAGCTTTTAAGCCACTGTAGAAAATTGTAAGAGGAGCTTGAGATTCCCCTAGAGAGTAAACATTTGGTTTGTCTTAAATTTGCAGGATACACAGATTCAGTCAGTGCTCAGCTGTTGGTGTTTTTTTGTAATGTTTAGCTGTGATATACATTACCTCTTGGCTCCTCTCTGTTGTTCTTCAGGTAAAGCTGAAGGACGAGGACATAACGTTTGCTCTGAAGTGCATTAAGAAGAAGCATATTGTGGACACCAGACAGCAGGAGCACATCTACTCTGAGAAAAACATCCTTCAGCAAACAAACTCAGCTTTTATCATCAGGTGTGGGCCACACACAACATTACACATTCAGGTTTCACAAAGAGCAGGGTGTTATTTCTGAAGCAACCACATTATTATAAGACAATGTTCAGATATTCCATTGTTTTTTGTAATCTGAGCTAGTGGAAGTATTTAGATGTTGAATAGAAGAGGTTACAGAATCAGTAAGATAGCAAACAGAACATTCTGTCACAAACCCCTCTGTTCCCTCTGAAGAAGATAAAATGGGGGCTGGTCAGTTTGTTGGTTTGTCAGTGGAGTTGCTAAGGAACCTGGTCCGAGAATGCTACTGACCACTGCACTGAGATTTATCTGGACTATGACTTTAAAGAAAAAAAGCCTTGTGCAAGCAGATACAAGAGAAAAGTTCAGCCAAAATGTTCACTCACCCACTTATTTCACAATCCTCCTACCACTCAGTTTCTTCATCAGTTTATCAGACGTTTTTATGGGGTCTCAGTGTTCAATTAAATCTAACAATTCTGATTCATGAGTGGCAAAGAGAGGTTACCTGTATCAAATGTCTTTTAAAGAACTGCAGCAATAGCAGTTGTAACCTGCAATGCTTCACTTTTTTGGTAGTCCATTACAGGCCAATAGGAGGGTATCACTGGCATGTTGTGGGTGCCGTTTATTTTAGACTTGCACCACCAATGTGCACCATACTACCAGGCACTATCATTATTTATATTTAGGGGATGTAATTAAAGTTCAGTTTTTAATTTATGTTTTGTTTAGGGTATAAAAAAGCATGCATTAGTCATCAACTAATTCCAAAACGTATTCGACTTGTCAATTAAACTTGGTGGCTATATCAGAAATGAGCTGCAATCTAACTGGACTAAACCCCCATCAAGCCTGTCCAAGCTGGAGATACAGTTTGACTGCATGCAGGGATAGCAGGAGTCTTTCCTTCTCTAAATACCTTAAAATCTTTATTTACAATGGCATGAGGAAGAAAATGATCAAACAAATCTATGTTTAACAACAACCAAAGTTATGTCCAACCTGGGTCGTTAGGCCACCTCAAAAGCTCTGAACAGCCCATTATGATGCCTTATGATTACAGCACTTGTAATGTATCTGCTGTAGATGCATAGTTTTGACTAAAGGTTAATTCTGGGAAACCCCTACTTTTGTTATTTTTACTATACCAGTAGGTTAATTTGTGTTTTCAATGCAACACAGTAGTTAATACAGACTCTCTTCACTATGTGTGCATATATTTCAGGTTATACCGAACATTTCGGGATGATAAGTTTGTCTACATGCTGCTAGAGGTGTGTCTTGGTGGAGAGCTGTGGACTGTGCTGCGGGACATGTGAGTGTAGGTTCTTTTGTTACATTTATAACTACAAATGGAAACATTGATATTTAAAGAGTAACTGAAGAACAGGCTGAAAAGAAACGTTTCACTGCCCTCTCTGGTTGTTTAATTGTTCTTCAAACCATCAGATCATTTGAAAGTTACTGTAAAAATATAGAAACTCTACAAAGTAACCATGTGATTTTTCCTCCTGCCTCAGTGACTCCAAACAAAAACATGTAGGCCTATAACCTTGAATCTGTCAAGGGACCTTGTTTCCTGCTCTTTGCTATTGATGTCTGATAAAGGCAATTTTCCAATAACAACAATAATAATAATAATTCTTCAAAAAAAAATCAATCAAGGTCACAACTTTCCTAAATCTGACCAATAGTCTGTTCTGGGTGTGATGCCATTCATTTGTTGATCTTTTCGTACCAGGAGTTATTTTGATGATCCCACAGCCAGGTTCTGTACTGGTTGTGTCTTAGAGGCCTTTGACTACCTCCACACAATGGGCATCGTCTACAGAGACTTGAAACCTGAAAACCTTTTACTGGATGCTGAGGGCTATGTGAAAATGGTAAGCCGCTTGTCTAAATTTCTGTTAGTGATGTCCTTTAAAGAGTTTTCGGGGTTCAATGTTGAAGTTGTTTTTCACTTGCTTGGTCAGTCAAGCACATCTAAATTCTACTGAAGTCAATTTTTATTTTAGCCACAAGCTAAAAAGCAAGATGCTGTCAGGTGTTTTGGCACTCTTTCAGAAAAACATTTTTAAAAAAATGACCGTTTTATCCGCCTTACTCTCAAATTTGCAGCAAACTGCGAAATACATAGTTGGAGGTTCTCTCACAGCCTTTAAATGCCACCAAACTAAACTCATGTTTCCAGGATAGTGAAATGCTTGCTTGTACTAAACCTTGTCCTTATGCACCACCATTTTCTCATAAGTGCCCAATCAATACTGTGCATATGCAACTATCACCAGAAGCAAGATGGCTCACTCCTTAGCTACTTATCAGCTCTGGAAACAACCAAAACACCACATGACCATTCAGGCAAGTGAGTTGCTAGATTTACCAGCCCGACATAACATTTAATTTACCCCGGTCAATCCTTATTAGAATAGAATAAACTTTATTGTCCCCAAGAGGAAATTTGTCTTGGGCACAGTGCAATTTGTTGCTTCTGTAATGGGCGTGAGGTTGGACCCAAGAACAGCACAGACTGAGACCAGCGTTGGAACAGTTCAACAGTTTATTGTCCAAACAGGGTTGTAAAATCCACAGCAGGTACACGGAAAATAGTCCAACAGACGCTGGAGCTAGCCAAAACCAGTCAGACTTTCTAGCAGGAGGACTCCGGAGAATCCAAAAAACTGGAGGGAGCAGACATGAGGCGAGCAGGCAGAGCGGTCAGGACGAACTGTCAGGTTACCTGGGCAGGGACGACGAGGACGGTCAGGACAAGCGCGCGAGTCGAAACCAAGGCAAGCAAATCCGGAAATAACACTAGAAAGCTGGTTTTCAATGCTGCACAAACGACCAATCTGGCACGGAGACTGAGAAGGAGAAGGAGTGGGATTTAACACAGCCGGCGTGAACGCGGTGGTGCACTGAGAGGGCCAGGCAGCGGATCAGGAAAGTACTGGCAGAGCTGGGCAGTAGGGACTGGAGAAGCCAGGAGCTGATCATGACAGTTTCACAGAAACAAAAATACATTAACAACAGACACACATCCGAAACCCATCACAAAATCAACATGAAACATCTTAAAACATGAAAAACACTATACATTTTAACACTGACAATATAGCAGCTTAAAAAGAGACTGTGAGAAACTAAGAACTAAAGTGCTACGGTGCTGGTTGGTTTATTATACATTGCCCTATGATTTAGTATCACAGTTCAGCAGCTTGATAGAAGTCGGAACGAACAATAATTTCAGTCTGTTTGATTTGCACTTTGGCACACAGTCTTCTTCCTGATGTTCCTGTGTTATTGAGCACTACTCATTTTGTATCTGCATAAGTTATTATATATTCCGAATTCCTGCGTATTTCCTTAGGCAGACTTTGGCTTTGCTAAAAAGATCGGCCTCGGAAAGAAGACCTGGACATTCTGTGGGACTCCCGAGTATGTGGCCCCAGAGGTCATCATGAACAAAGGCCATGACTTTGGAGCTGATTGCTGGTCCTTGGGAATCCTCATATTTGAACTTCTCACTGGCAAGTAAGTCAGTAAAATAGAACCGTGTACTGTTTGCACTTCTTAGAGAACAAAACCTTAAAGCAAACTCATCTGGACAGTCTTGGATGCCACAACCATGTGTTTTGTTTTGTTAAGAAGTTTGTGCATGTTTGATGACACCGAGAGGTAAGTAGAAGGTTTGACGTGAAGGTACAGTTGTCACTAGCATAGCAGGTAAACTAAATCAATGACGGCAGATAATCTCACCCAGAGAAAGTGTGTAGGTATAGACAGAAAGCAAATAAACATATTTCCCAAAATGGTGAACTCATCCTTTGAACAGTGTAGTCTGGATTCTTAGTTTATTATTTGAGTATTTGTATCATTTCAGCAGCTAATTAGTTAAGATTTAACAGACGTTTTCTGATATTAGACCAATGTGGTTAAGGTTCGGTTAGGTTTATGCACAACAATCTGAAACATGAATTGTCACATATACTATAGATAATCTGGTAAACAGACAAATCAGAACAGTTGAAATGATGTAATACTCTATAAACTATATGGAGAATCTGAGAACCTGTTTTTCTTCCAGCCCACCCTTTGCTGGCTCAGATCCCATAAAGATTTACACCATGGTCCTCCATGGCATTGAGAAGGTGGACTTCCCCAAGAAGATAGGCAAGCGTCCGGACGACCTCATCAGGAGACTCTGCAAGTACGGTGAATCATGGACCACGATCAGATAAGAGGATAATACTGCTCAGTGACTTT